GAGCTGCTTCATGGAAGAACAACCTCAGATTAGCCTGTTAGCTTTAGCGTTAGCGCTGACGCTACATTGCTTTTATATTAGCTCGGCACTACACATTCTCCTCTCTCGTCACTGACCAAGCAGCTGCTGCAGTGAGCTCCTCCCCAGTCCCAGTCCTCCCAGGGTCTCCCCCAGCTGCAGATATTGATCAGACGCTGCTGCTGGCAAGATGTAAATGTGACATTTCCTACAGGTACAACTAATCACTGCAATAAAATAACTTTGTTTTTGTCACTTTTACAGTGGATTGCATCAACTCTGTTACATCCAGAAGGGAAACTTCACCAAAGTGAAACATAAATCTGTGGATCTGTGTTTGATTACTCTGCCTGGCTTTCTCAAGGACCAGGATGTGACACAAAAATCTGAATTATGGAACTGAAAGTGGAAGTAGTCAAACTGAATTTTTAACAAACCAAAATACAGTTTCAAAGCAAATTAATTCAAATTCAAAACTTTTAATAGTGTGAGTACCTCCAACATTCACACTGTTGTTTTTATGTTTCTCTTTTTTCTTTATTATTCCAGTTTCTTCTGTACGTTTWTTGGACGGCTTCTCCTTCCATAATATTTACTCTACTTAAACCACTCATATAACAAAACGTTCAGCTCCTTCAGGACATTCCTGCTATGACTTTTGGTTTCTTAAATTTTTATACTTTTTTTTTAGCAATTTCAATTTTAGAGTTTTGATGATGATGTCATCAGTGACATCATCAGTCACATCAATGACATCATCAGTCACATCAGTGACGTCATCAGTTTATTAGCTGTTCTTCAGCTAAGGTTATCAGCGAGAGGCATTCAAACTAGCATTTTCACCAGAAATGCAAATTCTCTGGTTTAGTTTCAATTTAGTAAAATTTATTTTCAAACTGATGAATTAAACTTCGTATTATGAAAACACAGGTTCACTCTGAGTAATTCAGACTGAGTTCCTGCTGGCAGCAGATTGATCCCGTACAGCAGGACATGTGAATCACAGTTCTGATAATAAAACAGTGAAAACTAATACTGGGAGTATTTGCTCACCAGCAGCGGGTCTGACTGGGTTCCTGTCCTGCTGAGAGGAGCTGCTTTGGACCACAGGTGTCTGAGGAGGACACTGTCTGCTCCTCAGCCTCTCTGTCTCCCTCCTCATGTCCTCCATCCTGCGCTGAAGCCCCCCCAGCTCTCTGTCCAGACGCTCCTTCTCCCCCTGCAGCCGGTTCTTCTCACCCACAGCTCTGTTTAGGGCCTCCAGGAGCTCAGCGTGACCCCCGGTGTCCCGGTGGCCCCCCGGTGACAGCGTGTGTTTCCCAGTGAGCTGGGTCAGCAGGGCTTCCAGCACACCGAGCCGGGCCTTCAGGCCCTCCACCTCTGAGGCTCCGAGCTGGGGGCAGCTGGCCTCAGAGGGGCTGGGCACGGTGAAGGTGTACTGGCATCGCCCGCTGCGGTCGTTCCCCCTCCACAGAGATGCCTGGTGGTCCTGAGCTTCTCCTCTCAGCACCAGAACCAGCACACACACGGACAGGACCAAGAACATCTTATCTTGTGTCTTTGTGTAGTATCTGTGCTGCTGTCCTCTTCTTGTTCCACGGGTTCAGAACCACTGAGCTCTCCTCAACTGCTCCAGATATTTATACAGTTGGAAGGAGACGCAGGAGGAAAACAGGGAGGAGAGGAGCAGTCACAGGGAGGGAGGGATTGGAGGAAAGATGAAGGGAGGGACGGGGAAGAAAGAATTTTAGGAGGTAAAACTATGTAAAGAAATATAAACTGTTTTACAGAGAAAATCCTCCCGTTTCTCTGCCTCTGTGAAGAGTTTTAATTTAACATTATAAAGCCTGACTCTTTAAAAAAAGTCAGAAAATTCTCATTTTTTAGAACTGACATGTTTATTGGGTCTTTAAACAAAATCAAAAAAAWTTTTTTTTGCCACATCACTTTGTTTATGAGATATTATTGTATCAAATCTGATACACTGGGCTGTTTTGGTAACATTTTGCTCACAACAAAGTTAAATTAAGAAACAAAAGACAGTTTTGCCCAGAACTTTTAACAAGTTTAGAACACTATAGGAAGTTTACTTCTTTGTTTTTATTTTACAATGAACTTTTTTACAGTCATTTATTTCACTTGGTGGTAGACACAAATACAGTTTCTGTCCTTGTTCAGGCACAGATGTACCTTACACTTTATTAAAAATTACCACCTATTATCATATTGATGACATTTTCTTACTTTCTTTTTTCTCTTCTTCCTGAATTTTTCTTTGACATCTAACACGTAAATATTT